TAACACGAATTCGGATATAACGCAGTAAAGCAGTGCTCCGGGGGAGCGGGGCTACACACTCCGGCGGATCAAAGCAAGTTCGATATAACGCGGTAAGATTTTTTGACTCCCAAGGACAACGTTATATTGAGGTGGAGGTGTACGTCAGAGGGATAAATACCAGGGAGGGAGAGGAATTATTTAAGCTCAGTACCAATGTGGACACAAGAACAAATGGATATAAACTGGCCATCAGGAAGTTTAGACTTGAAATTAGAAGAAGGTCTCCTACCATCAGAGGACTGAAGTTCTGGAACAGTGTGCCAAGGGGAGCAATGGAGGCAAAAGACATATCTGGCTTCAAGACTAAGTTTATGGAGGGGATGGTATGATGGGATAGCCTAATTTTAGCAATTAATTGATCTTTGACTATTAGCGGTAAATATGCCCAATGGCTTGTGATGGGATGTTAGACGGGGTGGGACCTGAGTTACTACAGAGAATTCTTTCCTGGGTGTCTTGTCTGGTGAGTCTTGCCCACATGCTCAGGGTTTAGCTGATCGCCATATTTGGGGTCGGGAAGGAATTTTCCTCCAGGGCAGATTGGCAGAGGCCCTGGGTTTTTTTGCCTTCCTCTGCAGCGTGGGGCACAGGTCACTTGCTGGAGGATTCTCTGCACCTTGAAGTCTTTAAACCATGATTTGAGGACTTCAATGGCTCAGATATAGGTTAAGGGTTTGTTTCAGGAGTGAGTGGGTGAGAATCTGTGGCCTGCGTTCTGCAGGAGGTTGGACTAGATGATCATAATGGTCCCTTCTGACCTTAAAGTCTGTGATTCTATGACAGAATTCTGCAATCAGTGTCTGAAGCAACAAACCGCTGCAAGCTGATATAAAGTACTAAATTGTCAGTGTGACTTCCTCACATAGGTGTGTGTTTCTGCAGTTCAATAACACTAGCAATAGTCTTAGCAAGTCTCTGCATAGGTTTTTAAGTTGACCAGTGTTGAAAGCTGGATGTTAGGCCTGCCAGCCTTTACAGTAGCTCATTTCCTTCCCCAACAGCGAGCTTTGCCTGGGGAGATCACATTCTCTTACTTTTTATGCTGAATAAGAGGAAACCAGTCGTCCTCCACAGCCATTGACAATGGTCCTGAATGTTATGGAGTTGTTGTTTTTTTTTTTTTTCTACACAAAGGGGAGACTGGCTGTGAGGCTCCATGTAGGGGTTGCTCACAACCTGTGTAATGGAGAACCCTCAGTGATAGTCGCTCTGGTCTTCAAAGGTAATCTGAAAAAGAGAAACCCTACTTCTTATCTATTTCCTTTTGGCATATAAAGAAGGCCTGAAGGTCTGTATGGCTTTTATGGGGTAAAAAGCTTTTTTTTTTTTTTTTTTTTATCGTGTTTCAGGAATAGGTAGTCCTACCTTCTCTTTTTACTGGAGTTCTAAGAGCACTAGGGGGAGCTTTCTAAGCTGATTGTTTGTCAGGCATCTGAGGAGTTAATAAAAACAATTTGCCTAAAAATCCCTTCCTATCACAATTGTTCGAGTTTCACCTCCTTTCAGAGCTCCTCAATCTGGAATTTCTGTCCTGCAGGAAATTCTGAGGTTTTTAAACTTTGGTTTTGTTCCAAATAGGACAAAGTCAATATTAGAATTTATTGTGGAATTAAATATTACAAAAATATTTCATTTTCACTGTATCAAAAGGAAACATGTTGATCTTTTGTTTATATTATGTCAAAAGAGTAAGTTTAAAAAAAAACGGTTTTGATAATTTCATCAAAATTTTCACAGGAAGTTAATACATTTCTGTGGAGGTTGGGGATTCCCTGAGTCCAGACCAGATCCTGATCCAAGTTATTTATAATGCTCTCCCCCTGTTTGTACCACATAAGGTGTTCTCCAAACAAAAAGAGAGGTCCATTTCTCTCTCTCTTTCCCTTGCGTGAGAGAGGGAAATCAGAGGAAAAGAAAGCAAAGCTTGCTTGTCTCTCTAGTCAGGCAGTCTTTCTGGGGTCAGCCCTTTGGGGCTTGGCTTATCAGCTGGTCTACTGTCTTTAAGTAGGGTCTACCTCCAGCACCTCCTCTTGTGGCATCTTGCTTGACAGCTGGTCCATGCAGTTTCAAGGGTGGCTGAGGCCTGCAAGTATCTCTCCCGGCTGATCTGTGTCTGTGGTCAGCAAGCTCTGAGGTATAGCAGCCTTCTTGCAGCAGGTTTTCCCTTTTTAAGCTCTTTTCCCCTGCACCCTCCAATACACGCAGAGCAAGCCTTACAGGTGTGCCTTGTTAAGGTTGAACTAGGCACGTTAGTCTCCTCTCCACCAAAGCGAGTGTGCCCCTTCACAGTTCCCAGAAATGTTTCAGTTTTGACAAATTGACACTTTCTGATGGAAAACAGTTCTGTCAGTAAATTTTCAGCCAGCGCTACCTCCTTTGTACCCAGGAAGCCATAATCTTGCTTACTCTCTAGTTATTCATCAGCTTCCTGGAAAATCAGAGTAGAGGAGATCTAACTTTCCAATGCAGAATACTAGGACTTAAGCCTTTCTTTCAATCTTGTTTCTGGGATGCCCTTAAGAGATTTCAATGGCGTACTCAATCGCTATTCAAAGAGGGCAATTTTTGTTTTCCTTTGCAGATCACTTTAAGGAAAGAAATTAGAGGTTCTGACTTAATTCCTCCAAAAATGTGAAAATTAGTTGAAGCTTCCAGTTAGTCTGTAACTCTCTTATCTCTGGCTCGAGCATATGTGTTGTAGGATCCCTGAAATACACCGTGCTGTACATGCTGTGTTGCTCAGACATTGTAGAATGGGACAAAGGGAGACCAAAGGGAGTCAATGCATACAATACATATTGTTATGAGCCCTTAATCCACAAGTGATTGACAGGTTAGATGCCAACATATGTCTGCATATTCTGGACCTTTAATCTAAACACATTGACATGAGTGACCACAACAGCTGAGCCAAAAGCTTCATGATATATTCTTTCTGGGGAAGTCTGAACTTGCTATCGTTGTGGTTTTTTTTTAAATGTTACCAGACATCCCATGCATATTTGAATTCCTCACAGTGAAGTTGCTTCTGTATGTACAGTAGAAATATATTTAATCTCAATATTTTAGCAGTTTCTATATTAATACATTTGTGAACACAGTTTTGTTTAAGAAACTTTATCTAGGAGTTAGAACAAAGAGGTGAGTGGTGTTTATGAAGCACTTCTAGTACTATAGAACGGCCCATTAATTCTGTTGTTGTTAATAGATTCACTGTCAAACTTGACTATTTGAATTAAAGAAATATTGACACACTAAACTTGGTGACAATATTGCAGTTTCACTGTAACCCCCTAACATTTTCAC